ACGTTGTTGTAAGCGGCAATGGGACAGAAACTGGGGTCCTCCAGAGACAGCTGCCACCAAGGCCCAAAATCACAAGGAGCCTGTTGGAAAAGCAGGGTGGGGATCACTCATGGAGTCCTGCAGCTGAGGATATTTTCTTCCTGGGAATACTTGGCGGTAGCTCTTCATCCTGGGGGTAAATCCTCCTCTGGTGGAAAGCAGAGACATTGTGCACTGTTGCACTGTGCTGTATAGTGGGAGACACTGCTCTCTAAGCAGCAATGTTTCAGCCTTGGGCAATGTAAGCCTTAATTTCCATCTTGCAATGAGCACCTCTAAACAGAGATGGCTGAGTCTGGGGGCAAAGGAAGGACAGGGCAACTTCTCAAGGTCTCCACCAGTGACATTTGCTGTCATTCCTATGCTAGAGGTTTAACTGAGATCCCCATTAAGTCTTTCTCCAACACCTTCCTGCTTAAGTGGTGTATTATGCTAGTGCTCATGCTGTAAATAATAATAATCATGATAATAATCAAGAGGGCTGTTTAGCAAAGTTGTGCTATGGTTGTGCTTGTCCTTCTTAGGTGCATTGTGGCTTTGGGGGCGGGGGGGGTTGAACAGGACAGCAAGTCCTTTAGCAGTGGGCTGTGGATGTAACAAGCATGGATCATTAGCAGCAGCGGTCAATAGATAACTTTTCCTACCTTCCTGCCAGAAACCGATGAAAATGCATTACGAAAATTCAAGCCTCCTAGCCATTTGGAACAAGCTTCCTGCTCCTCTCTGTAATGTCAGCAAGCAGGGAGGTGGCGTTCCCACACGCCCCACACCCACATGTGTACGCACACACACACCCTGTGGGGACCTCACACGTGTCCAAAACGTCTGGAGTACAGAAGCACACAGGCTGGGTTTTGGCCTAGGTGCAGGAAGGTGCACAGACTGCTCTGGGTGATGTCTGTCAAGATCAGCAGGGAGCGGGACAGGAGCAATTTGCAGTTTCCCAGAAATTGTGCCTTGTATTTTGCTACTCCATGTCCCTTCTGTAGGGGCAGGGTGAAAGGGTTGAAAATGGCTCCTGCCAGGGAGCTCCCTCTGGCCAGCCTGGAGTGGGGAGAGGGCACTAAGCCCTCAGCCCTGAGGCAGAAGACAGCCCACACTCCGCTATGGGTATTTTCTACCTCCCCGGGCTCAGGGGACCCTGCATGAATTAGGACATCAACAACAGTCCTTCTGGCCTGACTTGTGTCGGGAGCATCTCCAGATGCTCACCCCTCTTTCCCTGGGTCCTCCAGGGGCACCACAGCATCAGACCAGACACAAAGCCGTGGGGTGGCTCTGAGTTGAGTTCAGTCTTCTGCCTTGGCTGTAGGGTCAGCATCCCCTTGAGGTGGCTACAGGCCAGGTCTCCCCTCCAGACTAGCCAGGCATCCTCAGTTTGGCCAGCAATGCCATTCTTCTGTGTGGCCAGTGAGCCTGGGACCTCCGCTGAGAGGTCACCTCCTCCTGAGGAGTGGGGAGAAGGGATGGAGATGTGAAAGCCAGCCACCTCCTGCTTCCCACTGTCCCCTGCCTGGGGACACGGTGAGTAGGGCCTCCCTGTGTATGCCTTGTGCCCATAGCTGACATACGGAGATGTAGCACGCTCTGCCCCTGCAAATAGCCGCCTGTCCGAAACCCAATCGCCAGGTTGGCAAGGCGGAGGGGAGTAAGCGGGAAGGGGCTGTGCGGCGGGCCAGATCCTGACAGTGAGGGAGGAGGAACTCCAGCCTCCTTCCTGAGTCTCAGACAGGCACAATTAGGGCTCATTTGGGGAAACTGGACATTGCTCCTGCTGGCATCTCTTCGGGAGCAGAAGTGCAGTGGTGCCAGCGCTGCTTGCCACGAGCCAGCCCCAGGGTGGCAGATGGAGGTTAACGAATGAGCTGGTGAGCGAGGCTGGACAGGCGGGTGCAGGGGCTCCGGAGATGCTGACATGGGTGTCTGGTCCTAGCTGCAGCGGGTGGCTGCGGGTTGATATGGATGAGCTGGCCAGGAGGCGAAGCGGGGGGACTGTGTGAGTGCCGCCTGCCCCAGCTCTGCCTTTCTCTGTTGTGTTGGCACCGGGAAGCTCCCCCACCAGCTGCCCATAGCTTGTCAGGAGTTTGTGTGTCAGATACCTATGCCCTTCAGTTTGACAAAATTGTCTTGATAGTATCAAATTAGAGAACAGATAGTCGAGTGCATGAGCAGGGGCTGCTTCAGCCTTGTTGCTGAAGGAAATCAGGCTATCAAAAACATCAGAGGGTGGAGGAAAGGCATCCCTCCAGGGCATCCATGGGGTTTTCACTGGGAAATAAAGACCCAGACTAGATACCACTGCTGAGTAGCAGATAGTGGACGAGTCCCACCACAGCCGTCCCTTGTTATATCGCTTGAGCAGGGACCCGTGTGTGCTGGGGAGGGCCAAGGGGGTCGGTTCCAGGTGCTTTTTTGCCCCTGCAGGAGGCACTGGACTTAGGCTGGGAACTGGGCAGCTTTCAATGCACGCCAGCCCTCGGCTCCATCTGCAGAGCACTGGGCTCCTGTGGCTCCCACGTCCCCTTGCCGACAGGGCTCCACATTAGCCCCCAGCTGCCAGACCGCTCTGGCTGGCTGGCAGCTTGCAGAAAGCAGAGAAATAAAGTGTTTGCAGAGGCTGAAGCTGCTGACTGTCTGAGCAGGCTCAGCCGCTGCAAACACACATTGCACTGCGAGTCCTGGGAACTGGACACCCTGTGCTGTTTTTCTGACTGAATCCTCATTGCTTTGTCCCATTTGTTTGTTGTTTTAGGTTTGCCCAGGTAGCTGTGCCTCTCATGTTTGTTATTGCAGGGGTAATGAGCTGTGCCCCTCTTGTGTTATTTGTAGGGTTGCCTGCACCGGTGTGAATCCTCCCCTCCCTTTAATTACCTTGGGAGGCAGCCTGGGGAGATGTGCTGGCTCTGCTGCATCCAGCCCTGGCAGTCAGTGCCAGAGGGGATTCCTGGGACAGATCACAGTGTGTTTCATTGCCGTGGAAGGGCTTAGTCACTGTGGATGTCTCCAGTCTCCTTTCAGACCTCGAATTGCCACAAAATCTTTGTGGCAAAGGATGCTCTTCTACTGCACCTTCTACAGTGTCATTTCCTGGGGGGACAAGATCATTCCCAATTTAATCAATTCCTTCTCTATCCCTTGTCTGTCATGCCCTTATAATAGAGGAGCCCCAACCTGTGGGGGCCTTTGAGTCCTGCAGCAAGAAAAAAAACCCCAAACGTACAAGCATCATGGGGTAAAATGGCAAGAGAATTCCATCCTGGGGATATGTGTGAGTCCTGGGGATGGTGCATGGGGTTATTTACATTGCTGTGGGCAGTTAGGAAGGTGCTGAGTCTGGGATGCTGACCCAGCTCTCTTCTTGTGCAAAGAGACAAAAAAAAAAGGCTGCTTTAATAAATAAGTAGCTGTGGAAAACTTTCCAGTTTTGCTGGAGGAGGGCAGGTCTGCCTTGGCAAGGAGGAAGAGGAAACCGGTAGCTGTGGCAGGCCTGGGGGTCCAGCAACCAGCCTGTCCCTCAGCCACCTCCAAGGCCACCCAGCTGGGGCTGTGTGTGACAGGCCAGTGCTACCATCCGCTGCTGAGCAGTGCATCCATCCCCTCTTGCCAGGCATCCCCTGGGCACCCCTGGGCAGCCTGGTGGGGCAGAGCCATCCTCCTCGCCCCTGGGGTGCATGTGGGCTCCAGGGAGCTGCCAGTCTGCAGGGAGACTCCTGTTTGCCTTGTTCGGGGGTGTTTATCCGCTTTTATTTTCATCCTGAGCCTTTTTCTTATGTCCCGACAGTGATGTTGTGATTGGTTCCCTGCTACCTTCACCATAGGGTTGCAGGAGGGGATGAGCGGGGTTCACTGGCATCGAAGTCACTGGAGACACCGTGCAGGGAGGGATTTCAGCCACTCTGATGCTTTTCCTCCCACCGCAGTGGGTTGCCCCATGCCTGCTCGCTGGCCCCAGCACAAAACTGGCGTGAGCGCAGGGCTGCTGGGAACCAGGGACTGGGAGACTGGGAGCCTCAGGAGCCTTAAACTCTGTTCAAATTTAGTCCAGAAATAACCCTTTTTCACTCCAGTGGCTGTACTAAATGTCACAAGTCATCTAAGTTTAGACTGTCACCAGCTCTCTCCTATATATAACCATGCAGGGCTCCTGACTGCATCCCGCTGGCACAGGTCACACTGGGGCGATCCGGGGGGTGTATAGGGAGGCGACTGCCATGGGCAGAGCCTAAACGCTCTCCTCCCTTGTCGTCGGTACTACTGGTGGCAGCTACGGTCAGGCAGCACTGCTCGGCAGCGTTACCCCAGGCTTTGCCAGCTGCTCAGCGGGTGGCAGCGGACAGGGGCTGGTTCAGTCCTGTGAGTGTGGGGCTGCAGACTGAGGACCCTGGAGATCCCAGCACTTGTTAGACATGTCTTCGGCATCACTGCCAAAGTGTCTGCCCAAACACATGGTGGCTTTGCTGTGGGATTGACCTTGACTTTGGAGTTGTCTCATCTTTGAGCATCCCTAGCTTTTGCTCTTGCATCTGCAAGGCACGGTGGGGTGTGAATTTGTCACTTAATCTTCTCACCATGGCTAAAGAGGGGCTACTCTGCCACATTTTGTGTGTCATCTGGTCCTTTCTGGGTTTGGGATAAGCCACCCACCAGTCCTTCTGCGCTGACACACTGCAAACAATGGTGGTCTTATATGTAGGAGCCCATCCTGACTCCCAGCTCCTCCATGCCCTCAGACATCTTCCTATCCTGAGCTCGGGGGTCACACAAAAGCCATGCCAGGTCCCACACAGTGGGATAAAGCCGGGGCTGTAGGCAGCAGCTGGGAAAAAGATTTCTTTGGTCATTTGTTCCCATCCTGCCTGGTGCAAAGATGTCATCTGGGGTCAGGCAGGAGGCTCTCTGTGCGAAAGAAAGCCCCAGTCAGCTCCTGGAGACCTGACGGTTCGGTACCCCCTCCCTTCCAGAACGGGAGTCCCGAGAGCACGAGGAGCCAACCACGTCAGAGATGACGGAGGAGACCTACCCACCCAAGGCCTACCGGCCCAAGCACGGGCGCCTCTCCGAGCTCAAGGCTGAGGCCCTGAAGAAGGACCGCCGAAAGAAGCTGACGCTGGCCAAGTTTGTGGGCATGGCGGAGAACACGGCGCACCCTCGCGTCGTCATCCCTGAGCTCCGGCAAGAGTTTGAGCTGGTGGGTGCCTTCGCCTTCCCTCTGCAGGGCTCCTGCGGGTGGGGGGGCTTTGCCCGCTGGGGAGCATGTGCCGGTGAGGGGGGACAGGGGACCTGGGGGCATTTGCAGCTGGAGGCTTGCTGCAGGGTGCTCCCCTTCTCACGCTCCATCTTCTCCCTGCTCGCAGGGTCCTTGCCGCAGGCACATGGAGGCATCCCTGCAGGAGCTCAAGAGCAGCCAGCGGATGGTCCCACGTGCTGTCCACCTCCCCAACTGCGACCGAAAAGGCTTCTACAAGAGGAAGCAGGTAAGAAAGAGCCCCGCATGGCTTCCCATCCAGGTTCTGCTGCCCTGGATGAAAAGGATGGAGGTTTTTCCTCTACTGGACTGGTGGGGAGGGTTGCTGTGAGCATCTCCAGGCACAGTTGGTGGTGGGTGGCCTTGCGAGTGCCATCTGGCCTGAGGCAAGCATCCTGAAGGAGCTGGTGTGGGAGGAGGAGAAGGCAGAGAGCCCCAGGCTGGGGTAGCAGCAGGGATGGAGATGTGCTGAAAGCGGAGAGCCGGAGCTAGGTCCTACCCAGGGGATTGCATCGCTGGGGTGAAAGGGGCAAAGCACAGGGCTGGTCCTGGTACCAGCGCAAGGAAGCCACGCGGCATCTGGAGGCCAGGTCCTGATCTCTGCCCTTGGGTATCTCCCCAGTGCAAGCCCTCCCGAGGCCGGAAGCGTGGGTTGTGTTGGTGCGTGGACAAATACGGCATGAAGCTGCCAGGGACTGACTACCTGAGCGGAGACCTGCAGTGCCACGCGTTCGACAGCAGCAACGTGGAGTGAAGTCGCATCCCCTCCCTCTGCCCCATCACTACCTACCCAGGCTCCCTTCCACCCTCCCCCCACACCTCCCCGTGCCCCGGGACTCCGATTCCTTTCATCTCATGTAAGAAGAAAAAAAGAAAGGAAAAGAAAAAAGAGAAAGGAAGGAAAAGAAAAAAGAGAAAGGAAAGAAAAAAAGCAAAAGGGAAAGAAAGAAGTAAAGAAAGGAAAAGCAAAAAGAAAAGAAAGGAAAAAAGAGAAAAGAAAAAGAAAGAAAAAAGAAAAAAGAAAAGAAAAGAGAAGAAAAGAGAAGAAAAGAAAGGAAAAGAAAGGAAAAGAAGAGAAAAGAAAAGAGAAAAACAAACCCTGAAGAAACTGAGGACTCGGAATCTACAGCAGCCTCTTGACAACAAGGACTCAGCAAGGAAAGGACAGAGCCAGAGACAAACCAGCTGCGGCCACTCCACCGTCCCGCGCCTCCCCGTGCCTCTCCCCAATGCCACCCACGCCCCCCTGCCATGAGCAGAAGCCACCCTGATGTAGGAAGCTCTCCGAGTTGGTGATTTTCCAGTACGGGTTTTGGGCAGGTTAATTTTTTTTTTTTTTTTTTTTTTTTTTGGGTTAGCTAGTTGTTTTCTAAAGGGTCTCAAGAGAAAACCTTGTGGCCACCAGCATTCCCCCTCCTTGCTGCGGTCCTCCGGAGTCTCCTCCCCACATCACTGGGACTCACTCGAGTCAATTTGACTTGACTTCAGCCTCAAACGACCACCCCGGATCCAGGCAGATTTTGACACGTTGGGAGGAGGAGTGGGACTGCTGGCTTCGTGTCTGGAGATGAGCCAGGGAGGTAAACACAGCTCCTGCAATGGCATGAATACTCCCCCAAAAATATTTGTGGACTTCAAAAAGAAATCGTCCAAAAAGGAAAGATACCCTTCTCCATCTGGTTCCTCTCAAATGGGAGGTCAGAAATCTTTTTGGACAAGCGGGACTCTAACCATTGTCCATCCAGGTGTGGAAGTGTTTGTCATGTGCATGTGTGTGTGTGCACAGATGTGGCTTTTCCTCCTTGCAAAACTTCGCCTCAAAACCTGCAATCTGGAGGGCTTAACTGTAAGCAGGGAGAGATGCTGCCCCCCCCCAAAAACAATAATAACCTGCTGGACTAAGCACGGGAGCAGAGTTAGAGAGGAGCATCGGTGCCTGCGGGATCAGGGCCCCGCCGACGCCAAGGGCTGCATCCCAGCTGACCCCACAGATACTCCATCACCGTCCAGACTGAAGCATCCCTATGTGGGAACAGGGGGATTGGGGCCAAAACTCTTCATCACCCTTTGCTGCCACGAGGAAGACCAACTATGGAGATTTTTTTTTTCTTTTTTCACAGCCAAAAAAGTGGTTTGCTCCAGGGGAAAAAATATCCCAAACCTACTCTTTGTTTTGTCTTGGATTTTTGTTAAGGCTGGTTTATAACCTTTCCCATGGGTAGGAAAACGCTGGTCTCCATCCTTTTGCATTGAGGATACTGCTCACATTGCCACGGCTGATTCCTGCCAACCTACAGTAAGATCCTGCAATGGGCTCTCACCTTTAACCTGGGACCCAGCTCCTTGTTGAGCGACAGCAGCCACCATACCGCGGAGACCCACTGCCTCAGGCATGCTGGGACAGCCCTCGGCTGCCTTCCTGACTTTTTTGTTGTTTTTAATTTTTACATTTGATTTTTGGGACTGTTGCCTCTCGTTTCCCCATGACAAGGGTCTCCAGGATGTTGGCGCTGGGAGGAGATCCTGCAGCAAAGGAAATGAAGGAAAGGAAAGCGAGCTGTGGGGTCTGGGTGCTGTGGTCCCAGTGGGCAAACATGCACCCGCCGGGTACCATATCCCACTGCCATGGCTGGAGATGGCAGCTGGCGCCGGTCAGAGGACACAGCTCATCTCAGGGGGAAGGTTTTTGCACCCTTAAAGCCCCTTTGAGCATCCCGGAGCCAAGCAGAGAGGAAAGGGGGTCCGCAGCACCACTGGGTCCCCACCAGTGGGGATGGGGCACGGGGGATTTGACGCCAAGGGGGTCTGGTGGAGACTCCTCTCCATCACCAGTCGGGCGCCCTCATAGCCTCCCACGGCATGGCACCACTCCCCCAAGCACCCCGTGGGGCCCCCCACCAGGACGCTTGCCCTGATCGAGGGCAGGACTGGACACCCCGCAGTTATTTCCCTCGGAGTTGCGGCGGGGGCGAGTTTTGCCAATGGACTTCCACGGAGACCTGGTGGGGCATGTTTGGAGCTGGGGGTGAGGTGTCTTCCCTTGCTGAAAAGAAGGGAGAGTGCCACCAAATGCAGATCTGCCCCCCCCAAAAAAAAACCTGCCAGAGCAGTGTGACCCCGTGTTGCTGGAGGGGAGCACAGCAGGTTCTGGGGGAGGGACCCCTCTGGGCTCTGCAGGGCTGATGGAGCAGGGTCGGTTTGACCAGGGTGGTGGGTTAATGGTGCCGTGAAGGTGGGGTGAAGAATGGGGTAAAGGGGGCAGGTGGAGGAGGAGGAGCTTGTGCCATCCCCAAGGGCCACAGGTCGCCATTGTCACCACTGTCTCCCGTCTCCTCCGCTCGCCAGTCCCCGTGCAAAACCTCCTGACTGTTATAGGCCAGTACCACCTTCCCCAGGACCCTTCTCTCCCCCTCTTTCTTGCTTTTTGTTCATTTGTTTGTTTGTTTTGTTGTTTGATTTCCCAAAACTTGAAAGCCTTTGGCTGCAGCGAAAGGAGGCGTGCCGTTGGGGCAGGATGGGAGCGGGCAGAGGGATGGCAGCTCCCCACAGACCTTAACTTTTGGGGCTGGTGCTTTTGCAGTGTGAGGGTCAGCTCACAGGGCCCGGTGGCGTTCTCATGACGTGGCCACCATGGTGACACTGGGAGGGGGACACAGGGTACCTCCCTGACCTCAGCCTACAAAGCAAGTCTCAGCCATGGCCCCAGGAGCCCAGAGCACCAAAATCAATCCCGCACAGCCTCCCTCCCCACCCTGCACATCCAGCAGTGGGACGGCACTGCCTGTCCTATCCCCTCCAACCTGGGGGGAGGAGGATGCAAGGAGGGGGCTGCACCACGCTCGCCCCCCCGCCAAGCCACCTTGGCTCCCGGGATGGGGCACCGACCAGCCCCCCCAGCCACCCGCTCCCTTGAGCATCCCTGGCAGGATGAGGCTGTTTGCAGGCTGCACTAATATTTAGGACTGGGGTTGGAGCCCGAGCGGATTCAGGAGGGGTTGGTCCCCCTCCAGGGGCAGCAGTGACGAGGTGTTCCTGTTCTCAGCACCCAGCATTTGGGGTGAGAAAACCAAAAGGGCAGATTTGGGAGCTGGGGAGGGCTGGGTGAGCAGCAGGGTTGGTCGAGGCACATGGGGAAGTTCTGGCAATTTGTGCATCAGGGAGAGGCGTGAGGCTTGGGCGTCTCCGGCCATGGTCTTTGCACCGACCCCACGCCGGTACCCGGGATGCTGGTTGGGAAGGAGAGGACAAGGATGGCGCAGGGGTCAGGACAGCCCTTCCACCACATCTCCCTGGGGATCGGCGCTCGGTGGCTGGGCTACCCCTTGTCTGTACTGCAGTGGACTTCGAAAACCACTAGTACAAGAGCATTTTGCACTATTTCTCTGCTCTCTCTCCCCCCCTTCTCTTTTTTCTCCCCCTTCCCCATGAAAACTCTCTTTTTTGTTGTTGGGGTTCTTTTTTTTGTTGTTGATTTTTTTTTTTTCCCGAACGGAGCATTGTATATTTAACGACTGACAGTTCACCTCGCTTCCAGACCGCTGTCCTGGCACTGGCTAGGAGCCCTGCCTACTGTGCCCCCCTCCCCAGCCCCGCCAGCCCCCCGCCACTGCCACTGGGACAGACGTCACTGCGCACGTTACCCACCGTTGTAACACAGTTGTTAAAACACACCAGATTCCGAGTTTCCTGCCTGGTTTTTATCTTTAAGCAATACTCACTACACATTTTACGGTAGCTTTTTATAGCTTTACATACATACGGTAGCTCTGTTGTTTCTTTTTGTTTTGTTTTTGTTGTTTTTTTTTTTTCCAGTAAACAAGAAATACTCATAATCTTACTGGTGGGAAAAAAAAAAAGCAGTTTGTGAAAAACTGACAATGGAAGAAGAGCTTAATGCTCTGTTTAGCATTTTGTACTTAAAAAAAAAAAAAATCTCACATTTTATTAAAAAGTGAAGATTGCTGTATACTATTTATTCAACTTATAATTTATGTTACTCTTTGATCTTTGTCTTTTCTCATGACAAAGCATTTATTTAATAAAGTTATGCATTCAGTTAGCTTGTGCCTGACCCTCGTGGAGCGTCTGCGTGCCAGGGCCAGCCAGTGAGCTGCTCCGGCCCCGAGCATCCCCTGGCCGGCTGCAATGTGCTCCTGGGGGCCCAGCCAGACCCATAGGGGTGCTGGGGGAGGTATAGGGCATGGGGTAATGTGGCGGCAGTGGTTTAGGAGAGCTTTTGATACCGGAGCAATAAGGCAGCGGTAAAATTGCAAGCTTGAGTTCAGAACATCCGTAAAGCAGAGCTGCCCTATTTATTTTAGTAATTGCTTTGCATGGATGTGGCAGTGGGGCATGGCAACTGGGTTATGTGGGGGAGAGTGCCTGGCTGCTGGTGATGCTGAGCCCCCAGCTGCTATCCCAAACTGAGCCCCACAGTTTGGTATCGGACATGATGTTTGAGCCTCAGACCTCTCTGGGCAGCAGGGAGATTTGTCCCAGCGTGCAGGAACATCCCTGCGCAGCCCAGCCAGACCGTGGTCCTCAGATGCCTCGTGGCAGCCCTCAGTGACCCTTCCCACTGCCCCGTGTCCCCCCTGATGCCGGATCTGGCCTCCCCCTCCACCCACACAACCATCACCCTTCATCCTCCCACAGCCCCCCTTACGTCCCTCCTCCTGTGCCCCCCATCCCCTCCATCTGCCCCCGCTGCCAGCATCACCCCATGTGCCCAGAGCAGGCTGCGACGCAAAACGTCTTCTTTGGCCAGGAGTGTGCCGAAACGTATTCCCCACCCTGTTGGCACCCCATTCCCCCCCCATGCCACCCCAGGAGGCTGGCCCCGCTCCCCCCGGGCACCCCCCAGTGCAGGAGCCGCACGGCAGCACCAGGCGGCGCGCTGAGCCTGACGGCGC